ATGATTGCTTTAGAAGCAGCAAGGAGTTGCAATGTGGATCAAGATGTTCATTAATGAACTTGGAATAGTTCTTAATATTGTTGATCACATGTCACTGTATTGTAATAACAATAGAGCCATCGCGAAAGCGAAGGAACTAATGTCTCATCAATGATCCAAACATGTATTAAGGCTGTATAATCTCATCAAAGAAATAATACATAGAAATGACTAAAGAGAATAACAAATTCCCACATTTGACAATATTGCAGATCCACTGACAAAGAGTTGTCGTAGAATAAATATGATCATCATATAGACTCTTACGATATTGGATACATAAGTGATTGGATCTAGTGCAAGTGAGAGTTTGTAAGTATTATGCTCTACATCCAATTAACCTTAAATATAAATACTTTTAATATATAATTAATGAGATTTAATGACAGATCTATTATTTAATTAATAGACAATTAAATTAAATAAGAGAATCCGTAGATTCAAATTTTTGTAATTTGTTAATCATAAGAAGTTGTGATTGTGAGATACAAATTACATATGATTGAATCTTAAATCGTCCGTGGTCATAAGTAATAACAAGATACGAATATTGTCATTATCGATAGACCATCACGTGTGACATTTATTACTTGTGAAGTAAGTAGCTGATCTCACAAGTTAAAGTATGATAACACTTAAATGAACACGTGGATGTTTTGTTATAGAACAAAACATTGGAGACCCACCAAGAAATTCTACATAGATAACTATCTGAGTGTTAGTGGTTAATCTCTAACGTTTGATAGTGGAATTGGTCCTTCGACTTGAGATTGTCATGGTACCTTATATGAGGATAGTCATACTTTGACGGTGTTGGGTGTTGCTCTGCCAAGGACCGCTAATACGACATCATTCGGGTATGTCAAGAATCGTATGAAAGTTGTGAATGATCAATAGAGGATTTGTCGCTCTTAGATAGTAAGAGATTATGAACTATGTTTTATTCAATTAAGTCAATACGAAATCTTTGGCCAAGGTGTATTCATAAGTCAAAAATGAGTTTTCGACTTATATTGACTTAATAGTGAAGTGAAAGATATGATCGATAATTGGGATTGACACACTTCTTTATCTCGTAATTGATCAGATCATATTGACGAAGAGATTATAGTTTCACGGTAAACGAACGAGTTTAATTTTGTCATACCGCATAACATTTCTCGTCACATGTATTGCCTTGAGACATTGCTAAGTGTCAATTTGGGATGGCGAGTGTGAATTTGTGATAAATTAAAAGGGCGTTTTAATTTATCAATTTTGTTAGATCAAAATAATATTTCACATCGTTAGGTATCGTGATCGGGAACCTGATGGGTCGCACACAAAAGAGAATTTGAAGATTGCAGTTTGTCAATTAATTAATTTAACAATTATTGGATAAATTAATTAATTGGGTTGGCTATTTATAGGCCCAAATTAATTAATTGGATTAATTAATTCACGGACCTAATTCAATTAAATGGATTAATTAAATATTGGACTAGGTAAGACCCAGCCCGTTTGGGCTTATATAAATAACTGATTAGGGTTTACAATTTTGTAGAGAATTCATTATTCTTGCTAGCACAAAAAAGAAGGCATTAATTCTACAATCTTATTCTCTGTATGGATAACCGTTGGAGGTCGGACAATTGGACAATTGTAAGTGACAGATCAAGGTTGCTGGAACGAAAGAATTACAAAAGAGTTTCCAGAATCAAGGCAAAAAGTTTGTAGATCTCGTAAAAGGTACAATATTTATCACAATTTCTATCTGAACACAAAGATGAATTCTGGTGGGAATCGAAATCTATTTTAATTTTTCGCTGCACATGTTAAGTAGATCCCCAACAATGGGGACTATATTATTTTGATTAAACTTTCATGAAACAAATGCAATATTCTCTTTAGTTTCTAGTAAGTTTTCACTAATTAATGTTGGTAAGATACCGAATCAAAACTTTCTTACTTTTATATTGATATTCATGAAGATTGGATTACATATAATTGATGTTTTCCCCTTTTTTCACCTCATAGCTAGGCATGCTGAACTATGGCATTAGATCTTGATATGGTTCCAATTTGGCTAACTAGCAATGAGTTCTATTTTACTACTACTTTTGACTTATCATTAGTCATGCATTAATGACAGATTTGTACTCATAATGCTACTCTTATATAGCACCATTAAGGGTGACAATATATATGTCATTATGTGAATAGTTCAATTAAATGTAAGAATCTCATCAAATTTCTCCTATCATATAATGAAATGTAGCACCATTGCCTTTTTGTTATTGTTTTTAATGATAACTAATTGTGAAGGAGTGTAAACTGCTAGGAATGTAACTCAAATTAGAAGATTGAAGAAGCATAATTTGACTAGAGTTGGAAAGGAGATCAAATTTCTAATTGTAACTAATTTATTACCTTTTGGGACTCTACTTAGGGTTTGACCATGTAGAATAAATATTAGGCTCCTTTGTTACTTTAGGTAGTGTAACAAAATAGAAGCCAATTGCTAAATTGTTTTGTATTCTCCACATTGTTGAATTAATAAACATCATCCTTTGCCATTAATCATTTATTTTTTCTTTACTTCTAAACCTTATTTTTCGGTGTGTGATCTAGTATACTTCAATATTGTCATATAATCTAGTTCTTTAAAACCCGGTTTGGAATCAACATATGTTATTGAAGCTTCCATGCCCTAACAAATGGTATCAAAGCGAGGCTGTTGATTTTCTGTGGATTGGTTGAGATTTTTTTTCGAGATGGTTGGGTTGAAGTATGATATTCCACAATTAGATCGCAATACAAGGTTCTCATTGTGGCAAGTAAAGATGAGGGCAGTTTTGGCGTAGTTGGATTTGGAAGATGCGTTGCTGGGTTTTGAGAGAATGCTAGTTGGATGGACAATGGAGGAGAAACAACAGAAGGATTGGAAGGCTACGTCATTGATTCATTTTCATCTATCCAACAACATTCCGCAGGATGTCTTGAAGGAGAAAATGGCGGTTGCTTTATGGTTGAGGTTGGAGCAGTTGTGTATGACTAAGAATCTTACAAGTAAACTGGTTCTTAAGCAGAAGCTGTATTCACATCGCATGGCAGAAGGAAAATCGTTGGAAGACCATGTTGCCGTGTTCAAGGAAATAGTTGCAGATTTGGAAACATTGGAGGTTAAGTGTGATGAAGAGGATCTTGCCTTGATCCTATTGTGTTCACTGCCTTGGTTTTTTTACATCATTTTGGGATACTATCTTGTATAGTCGAGATACTTTGACCATAGAAGATGTCTATGATGCTTTGCACTTAAAGGAGAAGATGAAGCATTTGGTTGGAACTACATCAAGGGATTGGGAAGCTCTTGTATCTCAATGTGGTTGACAAAGAGGTAGATCGAGAGTCAAATTTAGCAATGTGACCTGTTACTGCTGTAAAATGAAGGGACATATTCGAAAGGATTGCAATATGTTGCAAGTGAAAGATAATTTAGCTGCAAATCATGGGGGTGTAACCTTTGAATTCAGAAGAAATCAATGTAGTTAAGAATTGTTTAGATGACGAATGTGTGATGTTGACCGTGGTATCTGATTGTTGATCGTGGTATCTGATGTGGAGTCTAGGCTTGACGAGGAGTGGATTCTTGATTCATTATGTTCTCACCATATGTGTTTCGATAGGAATTTATTTCAGACATATGAGGCTGCTCAGCAAGGTGGAGTTGTAATAAAAAACAATCAATCTTGCCATATTGCTGGGATCGGTCGATTTAAATTGAGGCTGCAAGATGGAACATGTAGAACAATTGATCAGGTTCGACATGTTCCTGACCTAAAAAGAAATCTCTTTTCACTAAGTACCCCAGATGCAAAACAGTATAAATTCTCTGGAGGAGGTAGAGTTTTGAAGGTCCGAAAGGGAGTTCGGGTTTTATTGGAGGGACGGAAAAGATCCCAATTGTACATTATATAGGGGAGTGCAGAACTTCTTAGGAGACATTTGGACAACTTTAGTACTATAGTGGAAGTTTAGTTTGGTACAGTGCCTCTTGGGTTGGGCTCTGAGTCGGTTCAGAACACTACTAGGGAGAATGTTGGTGATCCCGCTTTGCCACTAATTTCAGCGAGTACATTGTGTTCAATTGCTGAGGTAGGACTCATTGAGCGTAGGTACCGTCGTGTCAGCAATGTCTGGGATACTTCTGGAGATTTTGAAGGCGATAGTTTCAGCAAGGGGCTTTCTAATTAAGCATCTGGTTTGGTTCTCACTAAAGAGTGTGCTTCAGTCCTATGTGATCAACATTAATTCCTTGGTGGAATTGGGAACCCTGTGTTTGGGTTCGGGTGTTGGTTGTGGACGTCGGGTAGAGGACGATTTTTGGTTTCTATGGAGTGGTTGATGTGTTAAGGGGATTCAACCAGTTCATTTCATTGTAGACGGATTTGAAATCTAGGAGTTTCATTTGTTGCACCGGAATTTGAGTCAAGGTGGTGATTGTTAGGAATGTGACACATATTAGGAGATTGAAGAAGCATAATTTGACTAGAGTTGGAAACGAGATCAAATTCCTAATTTTAGCCTAATTTCTTACCTTTTGGGGCTCTACTTAGGGTTTGACCATGTAGTATAAATATTAGGCTCCTTTGTTAGTTTAGGTAGAGTAACAGATAGAAGTCAATTGTTAAATTGCTTTGTATTATCCATATTGTTGAATTAATAAACATCGTCCTTTGCCATTAATCCTTTGTTTTTTTTCTTTACTTCTAAACCTTGTTTTTCGGTGTGTGATCTAGTATATTTCAATATTGTCATAGAATCTAGTTCTTTAAAATTCGATTTGGAATCAACGTGTGTTATTGGAGCTTCCGCGCCCCAACATGAACTTTGTTGCCATCTCTAATAGATGAATACAAGATATCATCGTTAATATTACAACCAACATTAACTGCATTTGACAATAATGTTTCATACTAGACCTAGCGCAGCCACCAGGTACGGTGCTTGTCCCTTGGTCTGGTGGTGCAGTGGTTAATAAGTATCACCTCCCCTTCTGCATGGTGGAGGTTGGCCAGTAGTGGCGACGGAATTAGGTTATTCCGGCAAAGTGGACATGTTCTGCGCCCATAACCTACCCACCTATCCAGGCAAACCCTGTGATACAGATGGTTGTATCTCAGCTGTTTAACCTCATCCCCTTCATCAATTCTGCACAAGCAAACTGTACACACTCCTGATGAGTCCTCACACTCTGCATTATTATTATTTTCATAACGCGTTACAGTAAGGTCATCAACATGGTCTGGTAACTCGTTATCACGATGCTGAAAAAAGGGTTGGTATAAAAGGTAATCCCATGCCCACTGCAGCAAGCTTGCAATCAGAATAATGTATTTCATTATCTCAATCGATCTTGGCTGCAGCCTCATTTGAATCATCTTATATGTATAGAATATTGTTACTTGGAAACTAATGCTATATTGCTGCAGCATTTCATATGGAGAATAACTTATATAGACATTTTAGAGAACGAGAGAGAGATGACTGTTTTGTTCTCTTACATGAAAATAAAATTTTCTGTGTGCCACATATTTTTCACGAGTTAAATAAACATCCACATTTTTCTAATATAGCATGAATATATTATGTGGATGGCCATTGTTTGTTTCGTAGGCGGGGTACTTCTTGGAATATTTTTCAAGGATTTTTCCAAGGAAAATTTATAGAATTCATAAAAAATTTTGAAATGGAAAAATATGTCCGTATTTTTTTTTTTTTTTTTTTTGGCTCATTTTTTTGGCTCATCTTTGAATGTTGCTTCGACACCTTCATCTGTGAAAGGTTTCCTATGCAAAAACCCTGAACTTGTAGCATAACTCATTTTTCAATTTTTGTTATGTGATCATATTTTTCTTAAAAATAAGGAAAACATTTTTAAGGAAAGATAATTTTTATTTTCCTTTGCTCTCTCTCTTTTATCCCTTCTTTCTCATCTACCAACTAATAAAAATGGACAAATATAATAGTTTCTAAATTGAAAACTAAATCATTAAAACACATATAATTAATAATTTTCATACAAATAAATTTTAGACAATTGAATTGCCTAGAATATTTTTATTTCTATACAAATTCAATTTTCATGCTCGCAATCAAACACACCTTAAAGATGGCACTCCAATAATAAAAAAAAAAGGTTCGTTGGTTTAAATTGGTCCATTTAAAATTAGTTTTATTGATTTATCGCTAGTGTTTCGACCTGGAAAATAAACTCATTGGAAAATTTGGGAAGCGTGATATAGACACAAATATTCGGAAACTTTAACTAAAAATTGAACTTTTGTTGGTTTTTATTGCGGGTTGCAACTGGTAATTAAATCAATTAGGGGAAACTAAAAATTAATTCAATTCCAGTGCACTTGGAAGACAAATGGAAGTTGGGTTACGTGGCATTTTTGGAACATGTTAATCTTGATATTGATCCTAGAGAAGCAATGCACAAAAATTCAGTCAATAATGCTTCGGATTCATTAATGAAGACTATAATGAAGTATTGAATTTTTCAAAGTTGGAATATAATAGTAAATTTAGCTAAAGATGTCAATAATGCTTCGGATTCATTAATGAAGACTATAATAAAGTATTGATTTTTTCAAAGTTGGAATACAATAGTAAATTTAGCTATATCCTTCAGGAAGCAAGACTAAAAGTGATTTGGGATCTCAATAAATTTACTCAGCTCAGTCATACGAAGAGGAATTTAACTAAGGTATACGAAGTATAGTTCTTTAGCTTTTATATTTTACTCCTTATCACTTATGGGACTAATCTAATTTTATTGTAATTTTAACTAGAGGACAGATCCAACCTACCTCCCAAGTCTTTATTTCATATTACTAACATTATTAATATAAAAGCCACTTATAGTGGGTTAAAAAATAACTTGACCTAATATTATTTTTACCACTGTGTGTAGTAAATTATACGTTCCTCAACACCTGCCATTTTTTCCCTTAAAATCCTCATCCTTTTATTCAGACTTGGGATCGACTACTTAATTGCCGAATAAGCTGCGTTAAAATGATACATGAATAGCTTGTTATGTGTACATATTTTTTTAAAAAATCAAAATATTATGAAGAAAATAAAAAACGTTTGATTATATGAATGAAGAAATTAAATATCATTTGTTTGATTAAATGCAATTTTTTCATGCTTATGTTGTATAAGAAAATAGGCGTCTTGCCAATCCTTCACGCAATTCAATGTTTTTAAAATATATTCTTTGAGACAACTACTAACCTCAGACATATTTGCTTATCTACATTAAAAGTAGACTCCAAAGTTATAGTGCTAATTGGAGGTATCAGTAGATCTTTTGCAATGGCAAAAATAATAGGATAATTTCGTCCATTCTTCCATAAAAAATCAAGTAAATCAAATTGTATTGCATCTACATGCTCTATGCTCCTAAGCATTTGGTGAGTAAAATATTCAACTAATTCCTCAAGTATTTTAGTAGGACTTCCGTCCAATGTTGGATTATACGTAAGTGACATACTAGAAGAATAACCTTCGGCATTATATCTTTCATCCCTAATGCATTCGAATAAATTAACTATTTCTGCATTGTCATCTTTAAGATTAGTGGAACAGGTACATGCGATGGGTGTCTGACTAATATTTGCACCCATAAGGATGCATACAATTTGTACATAGAAGTTAAAGAGGTCTCTAAATGCGAATAAGTGATAGGTTGGTCAAAATTTAAAAAAATTTATGATTTGTCGAATAAAATATTTAGTGACTTTTAAATTATACCAAGAGTCCATTACTCTGGTAAAAGAAAATGACAAAAAGACATTCACGATCTCTTGAACTAGTTGGGTATGCTTACATTTTGGTCCGATTACTTGAGTTGCATTCGTATGATCTACCTTTTGAGTTAATTTTGCCAACTATGTTGAGATTGCCATCAGTGAGTTAACATCGTAGATTCCAGCAGCTTGCTTCCCACTTGATTTTTCTGATGGCCAAAGTGCATTAGTGAATGTAAAATTGTCCATGATTTGATAGACTTGATCCGTTGTTCTTTTTGTGATCGAACCATTACATGCAAAGTCCACGTTAGCCTTGCTTGTCAAATTTAGCCAAATTTAGAAATACTACATTTGAAGCCATTTTTGCAGCCTATGATGTGGACACTAATGGAGCAATCCCTTGTACCTTTCCCGAGCCTCATATTAGCATTCTGAGTCAAGCTGAGATTATGTAGTGATTTTATGCTCAACTAAACAATCCTTTCAAGTGGGAAATATTTGTTTAGAAATTTCTGGCTCAGACCATTCCAGTTGTTGATGTTGTTAGGTGGAAAAGTATCCAACCATTCCTTGGTCAGGTCTCTTAAAGGGCCTTAGGTGGATTGCACTTGAAATCCTTGGATATTTAATTGTTGCACACATGTTCAGAAATCTTGAGATATGAGCATTGGAATTTTTAGTAGATCTCTCAAAAAATTGTAATGCGTTCTGGAACATATTGATCTCTTCCATCCTCAAATGAAAATTTACTTGACCAAATGCCAAATGCAATGCTAGATTGGCTTTCCACGACCGGTGAAAACAATGTATTCTGCCATCAACCTTGCTACATTTACATTCAATTCAATGGCCGCCTGATTTTTTATGTTTCTGCCATTGATTCTGCCAGTTGTTTTGGTGTGCTTCTAACTATTCGCTTCTCCCCAACCCGAATGTTCACTCGATTTTCGAATCAAATTGAACAAAATCACATTGTCTCGAACTTTGCATACGTCTTGAAAAATAAAGATAGAAAACACTGAAACAATTTTCTAATTAATGAGACTAACTAAATAAGCAATAAAAATTCAAACTAAAGCTAGAATTAACTAAAACTAATTATATACAATAATCTCCAGTAATGAGGTCAAAAATTTGATCTGTTTGACTTCTCGTAAATGAACAAGATCATGAACAAAAATAAAGTAGTGAATTGAGTGTCGTACCCACGAAGATTATGAATATAATCTAGTGTCAATTAACTTCAACCTTAATTGAATAGTTAAATTGGTTTGAGTATTTTCGCTAAATGTCTAATTATATTAACTAAGCTAATTATGAAGGTTTTTGTCAAATTCAAGAATGATAAGACTTTGAATTTCCCTTGATAATCCATTTTTAATACAATTAAATATCATGGCAATATATACTTATTCATGTTGATCAATATTTCTAAGTTAATTAAAAGCATATCTCAATGTTAGTAACATCTATCCATTCATGTGATCTTCCTATATCTCTATGAAAGATGCGAAATATGAAAACACGAATTAAAAATGCTAGAACATTTATAGAAATTATGCATGCATTGTTCTATCCCTATCGGACTTTTCAATAATTGTTATAAATGCTATCTATTCTATTATTTCTCTTGAAAATCGATAAAAGTCACATTCAAGACAATTGGTGATCAAGCAATTGAAAAGACTTTAAGAGTCAACAACAACCATTTATGAATTCACACATATTGGATGTCAAATCACTTATTTTATATTAAAATTTTCATAACAAGAGTTCCTCTGGATCCTAACAATTTCAAAATTTGCTTAGCATATGGTACGTATAAGAAAACATATGAATTCTATAGAACATCACAAGGACTATATATATGATGAATAACAACGAATAATCTTGACGTTCTTGAATTTCTTTGATGAATTTTGAATTGTTTCTTTAATTCTTTGACCAAAAATTTGATTAATTCTTCAATTGATTTGCTTCTTGCACTTGCCTCTTGATTGTATCTCCCGATATTATAAACTTGTCTTTCCTTCGGTGTATGAATTGATGGAATTACGGATGTAATATGTGTATGAATGATGTAGAAAAGGTTTCCCTAAGGTTTCATACTATTAGGAATTTGTAGGAGTCAAAATTTCGTTGAAAATCACATCCAAATTGATTTTCGAAAGAGTTCCAATCGAATAAAGAAAGTTTCCTTTGTGAGCCCATATTTTTGTCTTTGCAAAGTTATCAGTATTTTAATCATAACATTCACTCCCTATATCCGATTGATACGATTTAAAGTGCATTCAAAATCTAAATTGAAGGGCTATAACTTCATGAGAAATAGAATGTTTACTATTCCAAAAACAGGTCTCAATATTTGGCTAAAAATTTGGAATATAACTTGTGGGATTTAAAATTGATTTATGATAATATTTTAATCCTATTTCATTCCTTTTTGACTTCTCATGGTATCCAATTGACTTTTAACAATCGTTAGGTATCATCTTATGGTCCGATTCAACTATTGGATATTTGCAATTGGGTCCTAAACTTTG